GAGCTTGAACATACAATCTGGGTGGATACACTTGATCTTGTACCTTTCTAGATTTACACGATCTACCTTAAAATCGACCGAGTTGAGCATGTGAAATTTTTTAATGGCTCGGATACATTCTTCTCTATTACAAAATTTGTCTTTCTCTTTTAAGTTTTCATCCGACTGCATATACGGATTGAAAAATAATCAGATGACGGTTCATCTCCACCCATGAAGTTTTTTATGTGAGGAGGTGGTGTGTAGATCTCGTTTGAAGGTATACCAGGTATCTCATCGCCTTTGGAATCATCGTTGACCATGTCGTCAAACTCTAACTCGTCATCTTCTTCTTCTTCGTCAACGACGTCTACTTCTGCTTGTTCGGTCTCCAGAGGATCAACCACTTGTGACAACTGAGGCTCTCGCAACATAATGTACAACTCAATAGAATCGTACCCAGACTACTCATGACTGGAAAACATATTCTGAAGGTCCTTGTCATCTTGAACCTCAACCTTATAAAATATTATTTGGTTGTTACCAAAAAAAATCGGATTCTGATAAAAGATTTGTGTCACAGGACCTCGTCCAAGTTTGGACTCCAATCGTTTTTTGAAATACAAGAAATTGGCTTTCCTGTTTAAACGAAATCGGATGTTCTCAGTGTCTCTAAATAAAAACCCAGAGGTGGGACAAATGTATGTCTCACCGTTGAAATGTGCACTGATCACATATTGGGGTGCAGAGGCCATTGTGTATAACTGTTTGAAGGTTTGAAGGTTAAAGTGTTTGATTGTTTGAGTCTTTGAGTTAATTATTTGAATTTTTGAATGTTCTAGTGTTTGAGTGATTAAGTGTAGAAGTGTTTTGATAAATGTAGGACTAAATAGGTTGTACTGAATTTGAATAAAACAACAGTAAGCAACCTCTAATTCGCCTCCCTACATGTTCAATCGTATTACATGCATGCAGAGATGCCTTCCCCAAGGCTGCCACCTAGCCTGCACCTACACTGCAACCCATGCCACCTCTAATTCGCCAACAGGGATGGTAACACCTTACATTTTTGTACTCATTCGCCAAGTCCAATGACGCCTCCCTACATGTCCAATCGTATTACATGCATGCAGAGATGCCTTCCCCAAGGTTGCCACCTAGCCTGCACCTACACTGCAACCCATGCCACCTCTAATTCGCCAATAGGGATGGAGACACCTTACATTTTTGTACTCATTCACCAAGTCCAATGGCGCCTCCCTACACGTCTAATCGTATTATATACATGCAGAGATGCCTTCCCCAAGGCTGCCACCTTGCCTGCACCTACACTGCAACCCGTGCCACCTCTAATTCTCCAACAGAGATGGCGACACCTTTCATTTTTGTACTCATTTACCAAGTCCAATGGCGCTTCCTTACACGTCCAATCGTATTACATGCATGCAGAGATGCCTTCCCCAAGGCCGCTACCTAGCCTGCACCTACACTGCAACTCATGACACCTCTAATTCGCCAACAGGGATGGCGACACCTTTCATTTTTGTACTCATTCGCCAAGTCCAATGGCGCCTCCCTATACGTCCAATCGTATTATATGCATGTAGAGATGTCTTCCCCAAGGCTGCCACCTACACCTGCTCTGTATTTTGCCTATAAATATAGAGCCTCGCATACTTCTATTGCATCCACAATCGTCTCACTCTCTGCTACAAACTCTTTCATAATCTCAGACAATTTCAAACTCTTTCATAATCTCAGATAATTTCAACAATGTCTCTTCTCACAATAGGCGATTCTCACAGAGGCACAAGGGACAATATTGCAGCATTTGTAAGTTTCTTGTATACTTATACATTTTTCATACTTCTATTAATGCTTTATTCATTTTATGGACTCTTACACTTTTTACATTCTTAACTTAGGATGCTAAAAGATTCAGAATCTGGTCACACAACTACCTTGCTCCTGACCCGTTGATCGTACCCTATCTCAAATACGCAGGTTTCGAAAATGTTATAAAGATCTCCAACTGCACGATTGATTCAAAGTTCATACTTGCAATGTTGGAAAGGTGGAGACCAGAGACCCATGTATTTCATCTACCAATAGATGAATGTACCGTCACACTAGAAGACATGTACATGTTATTGGGTCTCTCTGTCGACGGTAAGGCGGTTAATGGGTCGGTTCAATAGCCCAATTCTCTGTGTGAAGAATTGTTGGGCAGGGATATGGTTGAAGGTGGTGGTGCGAGAGGTCAGGGTATACTACTTACTGAGCTCAAAAATCATTATGCGACTCTAGAATTGAACAAAAATTCCTTCGAGATAGCTAAGGTAATAAAAGCTATAAATTATATAATGATACTATTTGGAACTTTTTTATTTCCCGAAAGTACGGGAAATAGTGTCAATTTTATGTATTTAAATTTATTTAGAGACTTTGAAAAAACTAGAAAGTACAGTTGGGGTTCTGCTATTTTAGCTCATCTATACAATTCCTTGTGTAAAAATGAAATCAAGGAAAAATGTACATTTTATGGCTGCACTTTTTTACTTCAAGCCCGAATTTGGTGGAGAATTGAGTCCCTAAACCCCGTGAACAACAACGCATTCATTTTCCCATACGCAACAAAGTAAGTCATTAACTTATATCATTTATTATTATTCATCTCTTCACCAAATATATGATAAAAAAATATTTTTCAATTCCTTTAGGTACTGCGTGAGAGGTATGGATTACGACAAGAATCCAAGATTCAATGTCGCTCTATATCGCAATCTATTGAATCACCTTGGCCCCTGATGATGTACGTTATACCTTTCAACTTTTCTACTTTTAAATTATTTATTTATTACGTTTTTATTAAGCTGATTTAATTTTATCCGCAGTTTGTCTAGAGACCATATTTGGGTTTGGACAATGAACCAAACTCCGAGGATGCAGCAATTTGGAGTCCAAAGACTACAATCATACAGTTCAATGTTGTGGAGATGCACCACAGCGACTGTGTCAACGTGCAGTTTGGAATGCATCAAGAGATACCCTGCGATCCAACTTGTTTGTCCCCGTGGCATCTCAAAAGAGTCGACGCCCACTGGGGTCTTACCAACTGGAAAAATTTTGCTCCAGAATGGTGTAAGATGTGGCAGAGGCGTCACCGACATGTCTTACAATTCCCAGTTTTCCTCAACCATGGTAATATGCGACACACAGATCAATATTTAGCTTGGTACAGATCGGTTAGTACCCAAAAAATGCACGTGTCTCGTCCAAGGTATTTGGTTGACCCACGAACACAATGGGCACAACCCTCATTTCCCCAACAACAAACCTAACACACATCAACCTCCCACCAACCACCCCGGCGAAACAGAACCACAAACACCCAACCACAATCACCACCACAATACAATTACACCCATATGCCCCACAACCAACTAGAATCACCACCTCAATACCAATACCCCCATATACCTCACACCCAACCACAATTTCAATCACAATACCAATACACCCGCATGCCCCACACACAATTTCAGTCTTCTACATATCCTAATATGGGCCCCTCAACATCTAACCTTAGCCCTGATCTGGGATTTTTCGAAGATTATGAACCAACCGACTCAACTTAACATCAACCACCACATTACCAAAGCACCCAATATTCCCAATACCAAACACCCCAAGATTTATTTCCTTTCTACCCCCGTACTCAGACGACCAATGCTATAGACCAACCATGGAACCCCACCCACCACCAACACGACCAAACTTTGAGGGTATGGGTAACCGACTGTACCAAAGCGGATCTTCTAGATATGGAGATCTGACCGATTTCATGAATCGGAACGCATTGACTTCGTTGGGCCATCGATCCTGTCACAACAGGAAACGCGACGAAACCCAGCACGGGAAAGGCGAGGACGGGGATGCAGAACCTGGGGTCATTACCGGGTTCCGGGGGACCACTGATTAATCTGTATTTTTTTATGTAATTGTTATGTGTGTAATCATATTGTGTAAATAAAAAGTCAATTTTCGTGATCTCATATCGTTTACGTAATATACCGCATTTAAAATAAAAAACGCGAAAAATTGTCTCCCAATTGCACTAAGGCGCCATTTCACTTGGCTTAAGGCAAGCCTTTCACACATAGGCGCCAAGTGAGATGGCGCCCCCCCTTTAAAATAAGGAGCATGTGCCAACTGGATTGACTCCTCCTTTGTAGAGTTTTCTAAAACATGATTATTTGCGTAATTTTCTCCGAAACATAGTTATTTGCGATTTTTTTTAATACCTAATAATAAAAATAAATAAAAAATCCCATAGGGAAGCTTAGTTTACTAACAATAATTAAAAATGTAGGAATTTATCAATAAAATCAATACATTCTTAATAGATAAAAAATCATTTTAATTTTTTGGTATAATTTTCTCTGTTAAAAAATTCTAAGAATTAATGTAATAAAAAAGCAAAATCTTAATAATAGTAGAACAACTATTAGGCTGGCGAGTGTGGGCTCATCGTCTATAGGTCCTTAATTCCTCCCTAATATTGGTCAACACATGCCAATCTATTTCCACAAATCCTTTGTTGCATCTTGCAAGAAACGTATAATAAAGCTAGAAAATAGATCCATCTATCTCCATTGTTTTAAAACCAAGCATTATTTATGTGTATTAGGTTTTCTTTTATGAGAATGTGGCAAGTACTACTCCCTTGGCTCTCGTAACTTGTGGAATGAATTACACATCACATAACATGTTTTAAATATAAAGTTAGTTAAAAATATAGAAAAATGGCGAACCTCAAACTTGGAAATTAAGTAAAGGAGAGAGAATGCACGAATTGCGCGCACGTTGAAGAACGATTATAAAGCCAACATTCATGCATCTCAATTCACAAGTCACAGCAACATAAACAAAAAGAGTAGTAGTATTGTATTGTGTGCAAATACAAATACAAATGCAAATGCAATTCTAATAACCATTCGAAGAAAATAAGTAAAACCAAAATGAGTTCTGAGCTAATTCACAGAAACCAAACCAGAGATCAATCTGAGAATCAAATCGAAGATTCACCATCTTCACCGCGACTCGAGAATTCGCATCCGAAAACAAGAAACATGCTGAACCGAGCTCCGTTTCTCTTCATTGGCATCGCAATTGCCACTCTCTTCTTCCACTATCTCCCTTCTCGATCCACTCTTCCTCAAAATCTTAACCTCGACGATTCCTCGTTGATCGAAACCGATTTGGCTCTTCCCACTCGGCGAGTTCTGTTAGAGGAACGCCAAGAGAGGAGACAAAGAGTGCCGTTGTCCGTTGGATTGAAAAGCAAGAAAAACAAGAGAGTACTTGTAACCGGTGGCGCCGGTTTCGTTGGAAGCCATCTTGTGGACCGTTTGATTGAAAGAGGAGACAACGTGATCGTGATTGATAACTACTTTACCGGAAGAAAAGAGAATGTTATTCATCATATTGGTAATCCGAATTTTGAACTCATTCGACACGACGTCGTTGAGCCGATTCTTCTAGAAGTTGATCAGATCTATCACTTGGCTTGCCCTGCTTCCCCTGTTCACTACAAATTCAATCCCGTCAAAACCATCATATCCTTATTCATTATTTTTTTATTTTTTTTATTTAATGTTCTTTATAATAATATATTATTATGATATCTCTGGTTAAGTCACAGACATCTGATTGCAGAGACGCAGGTCTACATTTTATTTGACTTATCTTTATAATATTGATTGAAAAATTGTAAACCTTGATTTGAGTAATTTGGCACAAGACAAATGTGGTGGGGACACTAAACATGTTGGGGTTGGCAAAGAGAGTGGGTGCACGATTTTTGTTGACAAGTACGAGTGAGGTGTATGGTGATCCATTACAACATCCTCAAGCTGAGACTTATTGGGGCAATGTTAATCCAATTGGTAATAATAAAGTTTATTTCATTTTACACTTTCAAATCTTAAATTGGGTTGATATTTTGATTTAATGGAGCTAATTTTTGTGGTGTATAGGTGTGAGAAGTTGTTATGATGAGGGAAAGCGTGTTGCGGAGACTTTGGCTATGGATTACCATAGAGGCGCTGGCATTGAGGTTTGTTGGTTTTATTTACATTATGATCATTTCTGTATGCATGTAGATATATGATATAGTAATGTTTGTTGATGAGTCATGGAGATATATAAAAGAATTTCAATTTAATAATTGTTAGGTGAGGATTGCTAGAATTTTCAACACATATGGACCTAGAATGTGCCTTGATGATGGCCGTGTGGTCAGTAACTTCGTTGCTCAGGTAAACCTCTGCCATAATTTTCCACTCTTTATTAATTGATCTGTTATATTAATATTTAGCTGTTGTTTATGTTGAACTAATTAATAGTTTTAATCTCAGGCATTGAGGAAGGATCCATTGACTGTTTATGGTGATGGGAAACAGACAAGAAGCTTTCAATATGTTTCAGATTTGGTATTTTTTTAATGGCACCTTTTCTCACTTCAGATATTCATTTAATTTGACATAGATTAGGTGTTTGGCTGATTTAATTTTTTTCTGGTCCATAGACTGAGTTGTAATAAATACTAGAAATTCACACACACAATCGTGAGTATCAGAGCTCAAACCTGATGATAGCGGTCAACTTAACAATATATTAATTTTAATTCATCTCATGATGGATGGATTGTGAAGAACAAATATGAACTGTTACTAAAAACACAATGACTGAAAAAGCATCTGAAAAAGCACATATATGAACTGTTATTATGAAATGATGATTGATGATTGATGAAGATGTACGTATAATAACATAACAATAGGTAGAGGGCTTGATGCGGCTAATGGAAGGTGAACATGTTGGGCCTTTCAATCTTGGCAACCCTGGTGAATTCACCATGCTTGAACTTGCTCAGGTACTACATATTTCTGCATTCAGTAAATTGATATCTTGAAGTTGAAAGTAAATAAACACTGTTGGCTATTTTTGTGCAGGTGGTACAAGAGACTATAGATCCAAATGCAAAGATAGAGTTCAGACCAAACACAGAGGATGATCCTCATAAGAGAAAACCAGACATCTCCAAAGCAAAAGAGCTTCTTGGATGGCAACCATCTGTTTCCCTCCGTCAAGGACTTCCTCTAATGGTCAGTGATTTCAGGCTAAGATTATTTGGTGACTCAAAGATTAATGGGGACAAAGGTGCATCTGCAGAATAGAGTAAAACTGAGGTGGAAAATAAAGTTAATAGAAACAAGTTAGTGAAAATAAACATATATGCATAACAAAAATTTACTTATTTGGCTTGTTTTGGATCAAATTAGATATATACATTATAAGTCATTTGATGAGATTTATATACGTCGGGCAGAGAAATAAGCAGCATCCCCCAGGTCAAGGGAAGAAGATGCACATTTTTGTTGTATTTTATTTGCATTTGTATAATGTCATTTACCAACATTTTATTGTGAAATGAAGTTCTATTTTATTCTGTAAACAATTCTTCAGAAATTGTGTACATCTCAAGTATTATTAGATTAACTAATTAGATATACGACGCAAGGTTTAAGGGAAAACCCTCTAAAATTAACATGATAATTATTTCGGCGATTACTTCATAATAAATTGTCAACTCGTATAGGAAGCTTACTTGTCTGTACGTTTTGAATGTTTGGACTAGCATATTGATTCCATACGACCGTTTATGTTTCAACATGATAATTAATGATCGTTTGGACTAGCATATTGAAAGGGTTGGAATTGTTTACGATGAGATTAAGTATACATCAATCAAATCCAAAATAATAAATGAATTATTTTTGTAAAAAGCATAGTTTTTGAGTTTGACCCTGATTAAGGGGGTGGTTTTCTAATGTTTTAGGTGATTGTTGTTGGATAACATGTATTTCAAGTATTTGCAAAGTGAGAAATTAAGAGAGAGAGAATAAAAAACAATTATAAGCGAAGAATTGTTGGATCAAGGTCCAAAATGCATAAGGAGGTTGATCAACAAAAGTCCAATCAATTAGCATACGAGGAAATCAATTGGAAGATTTTGGTGTGCATATTTTCATCTAAAATCTAAGCTTTTTGTGTACTCCATGGCAATCAAATCTCAACATTAATAATTATCGTCAAAATCTTGGAAGATTTGATTAACTAATCGATTTGGGATATTAGCCAATCGATTGGCACACCCAATTTAGAATGATTTTGTCTTGATTTTTAATTAGCATAATCTCAATTGATTGCTTTCTAGAAATACACGAGCAAAAAGTTAGAAAATGCATTATAAATAGGCATGCTCTTTCATTGTTTCTTGCATCTAAAAATCCATCTTTCTAATTTCTTTATTGTGTGAGTTCTCTTGTTGTAAACATCATCATGGACTCCTAAAGAAAAAAACCTAGATGAACACTAAGAAGGGATATGTTCACTGCTCGATTGATAAATAGAAAACAAGAAGAGAAGATGATAATCATAGGAAATAAGGTAATTTTGCCCTGGTAAATAGAGTCAAGCCTCTAAAAGAGTCACAAACCTTATCATTAAACCTGTCAAGCCTCCCTAAAAGATTTCTTCACTCAGGTATCAGATGGATCCTTCCTAAATCTTTTAAGAGAATTCTATATAAACTTAAGACTTGTAGGAACCTCACTAAGATCACTTGTAAGGAGAGTAGAAATAAACATTCATATACATCACTTTGAGAGAATCTTTGAGCTGTCTTTTATAGGAAAGTCATACACCCTTGGTAGACCCCTAGGATTGATAAACTTCAAACGCTCCGTAGCCCTTAATAATTTTGTCATCAATCCCATAGAAAAAAAATAATGTCCATTTCAAATTCATCTACTTGAAACTAAAGGTTATGATCCTTCACTACCTCCTAACTATGATTCTCTTTCCAGGAAATATAAACCATGGCTATATCATTAGAGAAGATGTAGTATCCCTTGTGGCTTTTGACCCAAGAAATTCCAACTAATTGGATAGGATGAATTTTAACCACATGATTCGCTGCAAAGAGATCCAAGCAACATGACTCCCATATGGACCAATAATCACAAGGCTCATAGCTACCTTCAACGTTAATACCATGGATGAAAATAAAGACTCAATAATCCATATGATCACCTACACTGCTCTTAGATAAATACAAGTTCTCGTTAAGCATGGAGAAACACAGAATGACCTAACAATCAAGGAAGAAGAAGAACCAGAAGAGATAGAAGACATCAAGATCGACAAAGTGTTTAAAATATGTCAAAATTTAGCCAAGGCTATGGAGAAAATGAAGAAAATAATGGCAATGGATGGTGATGCTTATGACATTGAATGATTTCACCTATGTGTTTTAGAATGCTTACTTTATTAATTTGTTTCCTGTTTTTCGTACTATTTCAATTCGATAATTTCCATTTTGTACTTTGAATTTTTAGCAATTTTAATTAATAAAAAGAATAATGTATTCCTAAATGTTTATTTGACAACATGTTTGGATATGTAAATTATCGCAATGCATCTTTACCCGCCTTTTATTTCAACAAAGTGGAAGAAGTACACTCTCAGAGGAAGTAGGATATACTCTCTACTTAATTGAGTGGGAGTTTAATTACTCCAAACAAACATGTGTTATTTACTTTATCACCTCCAAAAGAGATGTCTTGTCATCATCAAAAAGGGGAAGAAAGTGGAACATTGTTTTGCAGGTTATTAATCAAGAAAGTATCATTGAAGATGAACATGCTTTTGATGATGATAACTACTAAAGATGAACATGGCTTTGATAATGGAAACAATTCTTTGATAACCAAAAATTGATTTAAGATGAAACTATATCAATAAGGATTAATAAACTTGATTCTCTGATGATGGCATCTAAATGGAATATAACGCAAACCTCATCTTAAACTCAAACAAGTGCCCACAAGAATGAAGCATATGACAAGTCTTGAAGTATATGAAAGTCTATCTCGATACATCTGAGTGAATTTATTGTAATAGCATAAGGGCTATCTCATAATGTGCATGGCTAATCACACACACAACACAAACAATTTTTCAAACTTATTTTTCCCAAGAAAATATATTTTAAAATGCCTTAAAGTCGTGTCAGGTGATTTGGGAACTGCTAGAATAGTAATGGGCAAGTTTTTATTCTTGTCAATCGATTAACACCTTATGGAAATCGATTGGATCAGTTATGTTAGTGCCATGGTATTAGGATTGGCAACTTTTCATAAAATATGGTTCTGACCACATGTCGAACAGGATGTCATGACATCGTGTTCTATTATACAACGGTCAAGGTTCTGCTGTTTTTTAAATCTTGACAGATTGAATTTGATTTTGTTATATTTCCTTTGTATATATATCAGAGATTTTCGCAGGTCAAGAAGATTTATTTTGGAACATATTTCATATCTCTAGTTGTACAAAAGATACTGATTTGGGCCAAAATTTTGAATAATAGATTGAGAAACATAAGATGATCTTAACTCTATGCCTTTTTCATTTTCCTTCTTGATGGCCGAGTGGGCCGACCCGACCCAATAATAACATAACCTGTTTCATTTAAGAGCACAGTCCAACACCCACGTTTTGCCTCTTACCCCCTGTATGTGTCAACTTATCATGGATCCATACATTTGTTGTTGTTTTTTATAAAAGGAAAACCATTGGGTCTGGCCATTCACAGGCCCAATGCCTTTCTTTTCTATGAACACCCCATTCTTTATTTTTCTAACTCTTTTCTTTATTTTAATTAATTATTTCAATTAAATGTTTAATCATATTATTAATGAAATAATTTTAATTAATGATTTTAGTTAATATTTAATTAATTTAATTAATTAATAAAATACATTTTAAATAGTTAATTAAAATAATACTCTTTAATTTTAAATCTTTTCTTAATAAAAACTCAAAAATAACTAATTTTTCATCATTTTTATTTATTAGCTTAGACTTTATTTTGATTATCTCATTTGGTATAGATTTTTAATCATTTCAATTCATTTCCAATTTATAAATATGTATCCCACTCTCCATGTGATGTAATAGTTAATTAATTATTTTATTACTTTACTTTATTTAATTATTCATCACTTATACAAAACTTTTTTTAAAAAAATCTAATTATCGATTGTGAGCCATTTTCATACCTTTAAAAATAGTCAAAGCTCTCCTAAGCTCTAACTTTAGATGTTTAAGACTAAGGCTTAAGCATTTTAATTTTGCAAAGGAATGGCTGGCTTGACAATCATCCTCGTAGTAGGAGGAAAATAATTTATATGCTTCTTTATCATATAAACTAGTAGGAAATCTGTGCGTTCGCACAGATTTTAGCGTGGGCTGCTGTCACTAATTTATTATAAGAATTTAAATAAATTAAAAAATATTATAATTTTATTGAAAAAAATTAAAAAATTAAAAATGGACGAAAAGATGATTTTATAAGTTTTAAAAGAAAGACATATTTTTAAAATAAAATAAAAAATATATTAAATTTTCAATTTTTAAAAGAAAGACATCAATAATATATATTTCAATTATTGATATATTATCTTAAAAAGTATTGTATGTTAACTAGTGCGCTCACACGAATTTTAGAATGAATATCCATGCGAATTCAAATAAAATAAAAAATATTTAAAATTAATTATAAAAAAAAGTAGTTAAAGATAAATATATAAATTAATTAAATCAATCATTGTTAAGAAAAAATATTAAACACCCATTTAAAAAATAATAATTGTGCAAAATAGATAAAAATAAAACATATTTCTCAAAACTATTTACATGTGCTTTTTCAAGATACTGGTGTGTTACCCATGCAGACACACGAGTATTGATGTGTTACTCGTGCGTCCGTATAGGTAACACACCAGTATCTAGTATGAAACATGTGTGTCTGCACAGGTACTGGTGTGGTACACATGGGTACTGGTGTGATACGCACGCTTTTATTTTTAAAATATAATTAAAATGTTAATAAGAAAAATAAAATTAATTTAAAAAAATATATTATTATTTTTAAAAAATTTATATCTTAAGAAAAATGATAAAATGGAAATGAAAAATAAGAAAATAATAAGAAAAGTAAAATAGAAAAAAAGGGAAAATTGTCTAATAAAAATAGTTTATTATTTTAAAAAAGATAATAAATTCATTTTAATATTTTCTTCTATATATAAATATATTTTAATCAACAAAT